GCGAAGGTTTTATGCTTGTGCACGGGATCAATGCTTGCTGACATGAATTCACCAATCACATAGATTGTAAAAATGAGTTAACCCGAAATGCAGACATTGTGATAAATATCCAGAAACGATTGACCTTCTTGTATCATGTTACACAACGATAACAACCAGTGAATATAAAATTCGAATTTATGAAAGCTGATCGAACCTAGACTTTTAACAGAAATCAACCTAAATTTAAATTCCCATCATGTTCTATTTATTTTTTTAAAAAAGTACATTTCTAAAATGTATTTATATATGGGACGAAAGCAATCATGTCTCTCCACAGTTTCCTTTCCTGTAAATTACCATTCATTCTAGGGTAACCATTTATAAGCAGCACATACACGCACACAAACACATACGTGTGTGGGGTGGGGGGTAAAAGTACGAAAAGTAAAATTCCAGCGTTCAAAACATTAATTTAAAACAGGGCTCAATGTAAAAGTAGAGCAACAAATAATGTGTATGTACATGTTCTAGGGTAACAGTGCATAATATATATATTTATATATATTTGTGTGTGTGTGTGTGTGTGTGTGTGTGTGTAAACTAACGAAGAGTAAAATTCTAGCGTAATAAACATGAATTTAAACAGGGCTCAATGCAAAAATAGAGCAATAAATAATATGTGAGTATATAAATGTTCTAACATAACAGTGCATGATATATATATATATATATATATATATATATATATATATATATATATATATATATATATATATATATATATATGTGTGTGTGTGTGTGTGGATGAAAGAAAATTATTTTTCTGATTTATAGGAAAAGCCGATCTGGTCGCCCAAAGACATTGTCTGTAGAAGAATACATCTTGAGTGTGGATGCCTTGATCAAGGAAGACCTAAGAATCATATTAGTGCAAATTGCAGTAATCGCGGGCATGAACTATGTATCTGTAAATGTTATAGTGCATGATGACTTGGGTCATCACAAAATTGTGCTCGTTGGGTGCCCAAACAAGCAAGTGATGAAGACGAGGCTTCCGGAAAAGAGATGAAGCTCGTTGAACGACACAAGAAATGCATCGCCATGCAGAGAAACTACGTCGAAAAGTTAAATAAACATTTGTTTATCATTAGTGGGAATAAATATGTTGTATGGAATTTAGTTTTACTTTTTGATTTGAAAATAAACTCCATATTTTATCTATGATGGTCTTCACCGTCTTGTAAAAATTGTAGTTGACGGAAGAGTCCATCATACATAAAATAAGGTGTTGATTTTCAATCCCCTTGTATATATATATATATATATATATATATATGTATGTGTGTGTGTGTGTGTGTGTGTGTGTGTGTGTGTGTGTGTAATAATAATAATAATAATAAATGCGAATGTCAGTGTGTCACTGTGTCACACTTTTTAGATAAAAGGGTCACAACTTTCAATCGCACATGTTACAGAAATTCTGGATTCCCATTTTACATTACTGCGATTTTATTACGTGATTTCTTGCGATGAATGTTTTCGTACGATAACACTTTCTGTAACTTGGAAATAAATTTGAGAATAATCGAAGTTATGTGTGAAATCCTGCGAAAGTCACCCATAAAATAAAAAGAATCGTTTATATGAAAAGTAAGGATCTACACACATCAAATTGTCTTTGAACTAAATGGCGGCAAAAGAATTATCGCTGAACTTTTGAAAGGTAAGCTTGAATATTAATGCAATACCCAAATGCGGCGATCAATTTTGAGTTCTTCTTCAGTTTACCGTTGCCTACCGGCAGCAGTATGCCACGTAAAAAGAAATCTCCGCCAACAGAGGACCAGAATGTAATCAAAAGGGCCAAAGCTGCAGTGAGGAAAAAATGTCCGGTGCAAGGGAAAACCCAGATCAAACAGAAGCCAAGCCAGAAGAGCTTCGAATATTGATACCATGCAAAGATATAGGAATTCTCAAACTCCTAAGCAATCCGGAGTCACATGCAAGAGCCCTCCGTAAGACCTACCTTTAATGACGCCTGATGGGGTGAATTTTAAGATTATATATATATATATATATATATATATATATATATATATATATATATAATGTGTGTGTGTGTGTGAAAATATATAGAAAATAGGAAAGAACTGGTTATGTAAATAATCCAAAGTTCCTTAGTATTTTAGTTTAAAAAATAGTGCTCGATACAAAAGTAGAGCATAAATATAATTATTTATTTAATTAAAAATATGATTCCAACTCGCTTGGAATCATATTTTAAATATATATATATATATATATATATATATATATATATATATATATATATATATAATAGGACCTTGAATGAGTTCTCGCTGTTTTTACAACAGATGGCATTCCCAGAACTGCGAGCGTGTATTTTGAGATGGTAACACATCTATTAGGAAGTACTACAAGCAAGCTTGAATTTCAGTGTATGTCATTTTGCCGAACTGTAAACAACTTGTTTTTTCATAACGTTAAACAATCGGATTTCGCACCAATGATAGTGTATTTGAGGGGATTTTACTGCATAACTTTATTCAAAAGAAATCTGCAGCTGAAGCACACATAATTCTTGCTGAGACTTACGGCGACCATGTTCTGTCGGAAACAACATGCAGAGATTGGTTTAGACGCTAAAAAATTATTGATTTTTATGTTGAAGATAAAGAACACTCTGGCGCACTGAAAAAGTTTGAAACGTAGAATTAGAGGCGTAATGCAGAAGACTCATGTCAGGCGGAAGCGGAACTTGCAGAATCATTAGGAGTTGGTCATACAACAGTGTCGAAACCTTAGAAAGCTTTATGAATTATTCAAAAGCAAGGACATTGGATGCCGTACGAGTTGAAGTCTAGAGACGTCGAAAGACGTCTAGTCACATGTGAACAGCTGCTTCAAACGCAGAAAAAGAAAGGTTTTTCGCATCGTATCGTGGCCTGTGATGAAAAATAGATACACTACGATACCCCTAAGCGTAGAAGTTCGTGGGATAAGACCCGGCATATATAAACATCGTCGGCAAATCCGGATATCTATTTTTCGAAGCTTCTGCTCTGCATTTGTTGGGATCAGCTGGGTGGAGTTTATTATGAGCTGCTCAGACCGACCGAAACCATCACGGGAGATCGCTATCGACTACAACTGATTACTTAACGACGAGCATTGAAGAAAAAACGGCTTTCAATAACCAAAAGACTCTACTTTGATTTTGCAACTCATTCAGATTTGGAAGAATAAATCTATGATCTTCAACATTAATAAAATTTTAATTTCATTTGCTCAATATGTACTTTCTGTTGCATTATTCAACTGATATCAATTTTTTGAGAATAAAATATATATATATACGATTTAAAGCAATTTAAAAATATAGGACACGACATTTTTATTTTTGACGTTAATGATTGATTGAAATTTATTAACTCGACGCGTTAAGACCCTTCCTTTTCATTTGGATGCAACCTACGCTATTGTAATGGCTAATCACTCCAAACAGAAATTGAAGTGTTTATCTTCAAATTTATCCCTGGAAATCAAAAATTTTTTTTTTCTAAAGAAAAAAAAATAAAATATGTTTGTCCAATAAAAATAAAAAAAATTCCCATGTAAAGCGTCTGTGTAACCTTTAAGTTACAATTATTTAAAACTGCAACCAATTGAATGAATAAACGATGAAGTTTCTTCCTAATTCTTTCAGGACATTTTCAGGCGGGCTTTTCTTTAATTCCATTAACTCCTAACCTCATTTCCATTTCATGGTACGTACGCTAATTCAAACCATTCTCATTCCATCGAACTTCATCTGTGAGAAATAAGTCTCACGAAAATATTCCCACGAACCGGGGATTTTGTGGAAAGAAAGGAGGATGAACTTCCGCCTGCAAATCTTAACCTAATCAAGTCTAATTAATTTTTTTCCCAAATATCCTCATAAACTGCGCTTCTTAACTCAAAAAGATTTCCAATAACTTGGACCGATTTTAAATATGTGAAAAAAATTTAAAGTTTTGTTTTTTTCTTTCAGTTTTAATCAAATTTCACCCATGGAAAGATTAACAATCAAACAACGTGAACGGATTTATCGACCAGGAAAATCTTTCAAACATAAAGTGAAATTTCCCAGCAGATTCTCGAAACAAAAATGTCTTGAAGCAAAAAAAAGTAGGCACCAGATGAGGGGGGTATTTTAAAAAAAATAATAACAAGCCAACAATAAAAAAATGAAGGATGAGATATTAAATATTGGTGAATCGATGAAAAAAAGACATCATCAAAATTTACCATGAATTGGGGTGGAGAGCACATTTGTGAGGATTTTGCAAAAACTGGAATTAAATAAAATGATCCAATAGAAAAATAAATAAATTTTCACAAATAACACTGATTTATTTACTGGATCCATCTTAATAAAACACCAGAACGTCCAATAAAAACATCTTTCAAAACTCTCTAGAGTGGCTCTTAGACATTGTAAAAAAAAAAATAATATATAAATATGAATTTGTTCAAATTCTTTCTGTAGAAAATAAAATGGGATTAGGGTAAACAATTTAATTTGGAGGAAAACATTTTTATTTTTGAGTTAATGATTGAGAAATTTATTAAATAGAGGGTAACCTTTGATTGAGAAACATGTGCATCTCAAAAGTTTATTACAAAGAATATATGAACCTTGTCCTAAATATGGGTGTAACCAGAGACATCATACCGAAGTGTTGAATGAATATTCGATGAAGCTCATTCCTAATTCTTTCAGCATCTTAGGGAATTTCTTTCTTTATTTTTCCTATCATTTCCATTTCATGGTAATTGTAGCACTGTCCATGAACTTAGAGTCAGAGAATTTAGTATGACGAAAATATCAAGAGAGGAAAAGAAAGAGAAATAAATAGAGGGTGGTCACCATTATCAAGGCTTCTGATCAAGAAGATTTTCTTCTTTTAAAATAGAAAAAAAAAAATTCTAAAAGTTCGTTTTGTGAGTTTTAATCAATTCCGTTCGAACGGAGGAGCGACCAGGAAGTCTTTAATTATAAAGTGAAGGCAGATTCGAAGAAAAATGTCTGAAGCAAAACAAGTAGGCACCAGATGAGTGAAATATTTTAATAAAATAATAACGCTTAAAAAATGAAGAGTTATTAAATTCTGGTGAATGTATGAATAAAAATACAAAAAGTTATGTGGGGGAGGAGAGCAAAATGAGGATGCAAAAGAAAGAGAAATAAATAAAAAGGTAAATAGAGGGAAAATGAAGAAAATAAAGAGAGGAAAAAAAGAAAATAAATAAAGAGAATTATAAAAGAAAAGAAAAAAAAAAGCTAATGAACGTGAAATGAGAGAAATAAATAGAGGGTAAGAGAGAGTGAAATAAAGAGAGGAATGGAAAGAGAAATAAATAGAGGGTGAGAGAGAGAGAAATAAAGAGAGGAAAAGAAAGAGAAATAAATAGAGGGTAAAGAGAGAGCAATAAAGAAAGGAAAAAGAAAGAGAAATAAATAGAGGTAAGAGAGAGAGAGAGAAATAAAGAGAGGAAAGAAAGAGAAATAAATAGAAGGTAAGAGAGAGAGAAATAAAGAGAGGAATAGAAATAGAAATAAATAGAGGGTAAGAGAGAGAGAAAAATAAAGAGAGAAAAGAAAGAGAAATAAATAGAGGGTAAGAGAGAGAGAGAAAAGAGAGAGAGGAAAAAAAAAGAAATAAATAGAGGGAAGAGAGAGAGAAATAAAGAGAGGAAAAGAAAGAAATAAATAGAGGTAAGAGAGAGAGAAATAAAGAGGAAAGAAAAAGAGAAATAAATAGAGGGTAAGAGAGAGAGAGAAATAAAGAGAGGAAAAGAAAGAGAAATAAATAGAGGGTAAGAGAGAGAGAGAAATAAAGAGAGGAATAGAAAGAGAAATAAATAGAGGGTAAGAGAGAGAGAGAAATAAAGAGAGGAAAAGAAAGAGAAATAAATAGAGGGTAAGAGAGATACATGCAAAGAGAAAGGAAACATAAAGAAACTGACAAATGAGAAAAATGGGGAGTAATTTCAAGAAGTTAAGATGAATAAAATGATAGAAGGAAAGAGAAAGGACCATAAAACGGAACAAGAGAAAAGAGGAAATAGAAGAAAGAAAGAAAGAAAGAAAGAAAGAAAGAAAGAAAGAAAGAAAGAAAGAAAGAAAGAAAGGCAAATGAGATAATTAAAAGATCAATAGAAAAATGATTCGGAAAAATAAATGAATAAAGAAAAAAATAATAGAATTCATTAAAGAAAGAGAGAGAAAGAAAGAAAGAAAAGAAAGAAAATAAAAGATAAAAAAGAAATAAGAGAGAACTCGACAAATAAAAGAGAAAAAAAAAAAAAAATTGTTGGAATGAAATAGTTTCAAAAACAGAAACAAACAAAGAAAATAATGAAAATTGTCTAAAAATTAAAAAAAATACAGAAAAAGTCAATAAAGAAAAAGAAAAAAAGAAAGAAAATTGTGACATCTCGATTAGAAATTTCAAAGAAGGAAGAAAGAAAGGAAGGAAGGAATGAAGAAAGAAAGAAAGAAAGAAAGAAAGAAAGAAAGAACGGTGATGGAAAAAGGAATAAAAGTAAAAAAAAAAAAGAAAGAACGAATGAAAGTTGTGACAGCTCGATTAGAAATTTCAAAGAAAGAAAGAAAGAAAGAAAGAAAGAAAGAAAGAAGGAAAGAACAGTGATGGGAAAAGGAATAAAAGTAAAAATATAAAATCTCCGTAAAATAATTGAAACCAAAAATAGAAATTATAAAAGAAAGAAAGATACATAGAAAGAAAGAAAGATAAAATCTGAAGAAAGAATAAGAAAAAAATTAAATAAAGCTACATAAAACAATCGGTAATTCAAATAAGGAAGAAGAAAGACATTTGAAAGAAGGAGTGGAGAAAGAGGAGGAACAAGTAGAAAAAGTCACACAAGAATCAACACTGCGATTCAATAATCATAGTTTAGTTTAGCAAAAAAGCAGCAGTAATTAAGCCTTTTGTGAATTTACAAAACCATATACATCTTTCGACAACAAAACTATGATAAAATTAGTTGAATTATTCCTTGCTAATTTGCACGTTGTTGTCATAAAAAGAAGATACATTTGACTTGTCACATGTTGGTCATGCCAGAGATGTCCAGTTCCAAACACCGAAGCAGTGATCATGGTTGACAAAATTGGTTGAACTTTCAACTTAATCCACCTTCAAGCATTAGCGACAGAAAAACGCAAGTCCTGCCAGAAATAGACAAAAACTGATGTACAGGGTGTAATAGGCGAATTGTTGCAATATCAATATTGATATTAATCTTAATCATACGCGTTGTTTATTTTTTATTTTGTCGCCTGCATACTATAGTAAGGTCAAAGTGGCACCATCTGTGAGAAAAAGAGCACTATGACACAATTCAATTCGTCAGAAATTTGGAAACGGCATTCTGTACGGCTTGGCATTCGCGCCGGAATCTCCAATACGAACATTTGCGTTTGGGTGTCTATCTAAGAACAGTGCAGATAAGAAAAGAACTCCTGAATTTTGGGGCTAGTGCTGCCCTGGGTCAAGAGAATGAGTGCTAGAAAAACCTATATCTGGCAACAGGACTTTACACCATGCAACATAAGCAGGAGATCCCAGTCATGGCTGTCAGACAATTCCTGCGACTACATCACCTATGGCCACCTAACTTTCCAGACTGCAAATCCGTTGATTATTATGTATGGGGTGCAGTTGAGCGAGAGATCATCAATACACATTGTAACACCAAAGATGAACTAAAATAAGGATTATGGCAGAATTCACCAACTTAAAGAAGGAGACCGTCCAGAAGAGTGGCAGAAGATTCCGAAGTCGTCTGCGGCTCGTGGTTGAAGCCAATGGTTGATTTTTTTTAATAAATGTACACTTCAAGATATTTTTGTGCAATTTTGGTAAATATATATTTTAAAATGAGATGTCAGTGTGACTTTAATTTTTGTGTAATTTATACAATTTATACATTTATAAAAAAAAATAAACTGGAAAAACCTTAAACCAATCGGTGGACAACAAGATTTGACGATATAAATGGTAAATTTGTTTTAAAAAAATGATATTTTTCTTCATTCCTTCTTGATAATTTAGATATTCAGTTATCGGGAATTTTCAACATATTTCAAAACCTGTCCCAAAATGTCCGGATAATCGAGGAAGTACTGTACATATATACTAGATTTATCAAAGTTTAATGCAAAGACGCAAAAATATGACACATGCAGTCTTTGCATCGGCGAGTAATTGGCGTCGATCTGTAGTAAGCACTGAAGTACATACTTGTGCAAATTAATTGAAACAAAACGAATAATTCTGTTATTATTTAATTTTTTCGTATTTTTCGAATGAAACATTGCCCCGAGCACATGTTACTATTTCGTATGTCCATTCCACGAAGTCGATCCTTGCAGGTTGATCACAGATTCTCAAGTGGATTTAAATCGGGAGATTTTCCGGGTCAGTCTATAGTAATTTGATTTGCACTCTGGTAAAGCATGTCAGTGTGTTCGTACAGCGTTACAATTTTCATATGCTTCTTTGGAGTAACGTACATCGCAGATAATATCCGTAGGACAACTAATTGACAATCGAGACAATAGTCTCTAGGTGTAATGAAAACCTGATGCAATCACGGATGACGCAATATATTTCAAGGCCAAACAAATGTCATCATACACTCCGAAAATAGATTCATATTGCTGCACAGCACTGCAAATGACCTAACGTGAAAAAAATGGAAATCGATTCCACCCTGCTGCTCCAGTGGCTCCAAAATGACCGTAGGGTGAAAGAAAAGAAATTAAAGCGTTTGTTTCAGTTAAGTTGAACAAGGGTGTAGATACTCCTCAGTTTTAGCTTAGACTTCTACAATTGAGGCTTTCTTGGAGACTCTCTAGCAATCGAACCTTTTAAAATTCTAAGTATACATGAGAAGACAAAAAAAGAAAAATTTCATGACTATAAATACTTTGAACGCGACTTAACATAGATATATACTTTTTTGTATCTCCGCGTTCTTAGGTATTTAGGGGGATGTGCGCTTGCGTATATGCTTTGTGTGTGAGCATGCGCAAAGGACGCGAAACGACTATCTGGAGAAAAAAAACACTCAGCCCAGAAAAAGTTTAATATGGAAAAAGAATCCAACGCAGGAAAATTAAGATGGACAAGGAAAGGGTAGCAAGGTAAAAAAAAAAAACAACAACAGTTAACAAGGTCATAAGAAGAAGAATCAAGGGGTATGGCAATAAAGGGTAAAGTAAAAGCCGAATACGGGGTGATACAAAAAAAGTAGAAAAAAGGGAAAGAAAAAATCGCGAATTTCATTGATGATAGCGGTTTTTCGCTGGGTCTGGATACCCGTTTTGTAAATCGATTGATAGAACTCGTGCTCGCCCGCCAGTTATAAATATCAAAGCATTATTCTATAACTGCAAGCTTTCTAATGGAATATTTTCCTTGTTCCTATTTTGTTGGCTTTTATGCAATTTTATTTATTCATTTTCTGTGTGTGTGTGTGTGTGTGTTTTTTTTTTTTTTTTTAATAAGCCTTGCGCATTTTTTATGATGTGGCAATTATCTGTTAAAGGACATCCTTCGTTTGATTTTGACTCTGAAGACGTAGCGAGAAAGATGACGCCATTATCCCAGCCGGTGTTTTCTTGCGTCCACCCCACTACTGCTGAATGATGGGAAGAAACGGAAGATATTTCTTGTTTCCAATTTGCACTGGACGTTTTTATTGAATTGCTAAAAGTGTTTGCCTAAAAGAGCAAAAGAAAGCAAGTGAATAAACAAATAGAAAATGAAAGAAAAAAAAAGAAACAGTGAAAAAAATTCTAGTACATCATGAATGAATTTGGAAAAGGTGACTGAATCGAAAGAAAACAGAACTGAAGCACAAAATAAACGAGCTATAAATAAAAAGCACAAAAAGAAAAACATATGAGAATTAAAGGAAACTTTTTTCACTAATTACGATAATGTAGATGCAAATTACGTACAGCATGTAGGACATATCGAGTTATCGATATGCATTTGTTTAAACACACACATATGTGTATGCATTTATGTGTGCATGTTTCATACATATGATGTATATTATTTTGCTATATATATATATATTATTTTGATTTTATTATATATATATATATATATATATATATATATATATATATATATATATATATATATATGTGTGTGTGTGTGTGTGTGTGTGTTTGTGTACGTGTGTGCATATGTATAGCCTTTATATGAATCAATATACATATTTATTTTCTGATTAAATAATCAACATGTTTGGCATAATATATATATATATATATATATATATATATATATATACACACAAACATATATATATATATATATATATATATATATATATATATAATACATACATACATGTATATGTTTGTGTGTGTATGTGTGTTTGTGTGTGAGCGCAAATATATAGAAAAATAGGAAAGAACCGTTAGGTTAATAATCCAAAGTTCTTTAGTATTTTTGTTTTTATTTTTTTAAATAGTGCTCAATACATAAGTAGAGCCTATAATTCGCTTGAGGACTGCTTTTTTAGCTTCTACTTTTGAAACATGAGAACTCTCATGTAGCGATGGAATCATATTTTTTTAAAATAATTATATATATATATAATTTTTATATATATTATATACCAGCTGTATTTAATGGAAAGTGTTCAAATCTCAGTGATAGAGCTGACATATACAGTTGTATGGAAATCTTGTACACTTGCCTGTCTTTTTGTCTACCCACAGGTGTGTCTAGGTACATTTATATCTTGGTCATCCTATGAATATTCTAGCCGACACTCGGATGTTAAATATTTTATACGCATTAGAAAATATTGACTCATTTTTGGAAATTATTTTATTAAATGCGGATAAATATTGTATATTTTGTATAATAATAGCTTCCAATGTTTC